GATATGAGCCCATAAGTCCCATACTAGCCCATAACGTCCTCTTCAGACTCACGCAGCACATGCACTGATGCCGAATGCAGGCAGCTCACAGGCCTGTGGGTGCAAAGTCTTATGGATCCAGGTGTGGTGGAAGCATCTCGGGCTAGAGAGAAAGGCTGTCACAGGGCTCATGGAGTCTCTGAGTGGCTTGTCCACAGGAAGCTGAAGGCAGAGAGAGAGGAAGTTCCCAGAATCCTCAAGAGAAGGCCACGCCCACAAGGAGGCATCATCAGGTGGTGACCTGATTGACAGGTTGGACTCCATCCCTGCACTTATTGATCAAATTGTCACAGCCCTCTTGGAGGGGGAGCGACGCTGTGGCTGCATCAGTGGGCTCGAGGGGGACGAGGGCGGCCTGAACTGAGAGTGCCTTAGTCCGCAACGTGACCCCTTTGCTCTCCAGCACTTTATTCTTATCAGCTCTCTAAAGAACTCTTACAGCACAGATTTGTGGCGCACTATGCTGTTTGATTTCTTGGCTGCTACTTCCAGGAATAAAATAAAATCCGTGACAGTGTCTACGTTTCATGTGTTGATCATGATGTCGGCTGGTCCCGTGGTGAGGATTTTTGTTTTCTGTATGTTTTCTGTATACTCTATACCGAAGGCCAGTCTTGGGTCTCTCCACTGAGTGTCTCAGATCTTCTCTGCTCTCCATCTGCCAGGCTGTGCCACCTGCACAGCGCAGGGCAGTGATGAGTCTTCTTCCAGGGCTGTGCTGCTTCTCCTCATGCGGCCCAGCCTGACCGATGGTTGCCTCAGCACACAGATGGAGTAAGTATGACAAAAGGTGACCACCCCATGGCACCCCATTGCCGGTTTTAAACCACGCAGTATTCCCTTGTTCTCCTCAAAGGACTGCCTTTTGATCTGTGCATCGACTCTGCGTGAGCCCAGCGAGGTGTGTTGGAATGCCCGCTCTTTGGAATGATCTCTATACTGTAATTTGTTCTTGCTCCACACGGTCGAGTACACATACGTTTTGTTTTATCACAATCCTCTCTCCTCACAGCCCTCATCCCACATCTTCCCTGTGTTTCCTCTTCGTTCCTAACCCTTCTGAACGTGGTCCTTGGGAAGACGCTGCCCTGTTGTTGAGATCAAATGGTCGACTGTCACTTAAAGTTGTGCAGACCGTGGTCTCGGGGTTCCACCAGTTTCTGGCCTGTACGTCTAGTCTCTTATGATTTGGACTTCTGCTCCCCTCTATTTTTCTCACACTCTATCCAGGACCCACTAATGCGATCCCTTCCGGAGCAGTGATAGCCGGGCACCAGCTAGTTCTTCTGGTCTCAGGGTTGTGGAGTCGGATACTCACTTGATCATTTCTTTTTCTTTTTGTCACTTACCCATTTGTCAGTGTGCATGTCAGTGCTACAGTCTCCAGGCTGCCTAACAGCACCACTGTCCATTTCCACATGTTTGCTGTGTCCCCCAACAGCAATTCCATGTTCCTGTAGCAATCGCCCATCACAGCCCCCAGCCCGTCTGCTCTCTGTCTGTGCACGCTTGCCTGTTGTCTTGGTGGGGGTCACACAGCGTGTGTCCTTCTGGGCCTGGCTCCCCTTACCCATGGTCAAGACTCATGATTCCATTCCTCGTTATGCCCGAGTGATGTTCTGTTGCACGATGGGGCACTAGGGAGGTGTCTGCCTTCAGGCTACTGTGGGTGCAGAAATAATTTCTTTCAGAACCATCATGATGAGGCTGGACCCAGTAGGCCGGAGGTTAAAGATATCTGAAACGCCGACTTTCCCAAACTGCTCATGTGCTTCACTCTCCCTGAAAGCAGCCATCGCCTGTCCCCTGAGGACTCCCTGGCGTCTCCAGGGATGCCAACCTCACTGCAGTTCTCTGCAGCCCCTCACCAACTCATGGAGCATTTAGGAAGCGTCTCGTGGGGTTGTGGGGGCTGGCGGGTCCCAAATCCGAGGTTCAGACACCATGAGACTGTGGAAGCTGGTGACACCAGTCAGGTGAGAGGTCCCAGCCCAAGTCCCAAGGTCAGG